AAAAACAATCAACACATCGCAAAATAACGGTTGAGAGTTGGAAAAGTAGCACGCATTTACACATGGAGAAAATATTTTACTTTTAACGGCGTAGATTACTCCACCAACAAAGCCGTATCTCACTCTCTTGTGAGCTTCTTCATTTTCCTAAAAGAAGCAATTAACTCCAATAGGAACAAACCCTTCCCCATTTTTTGTAACATAGTTCATCAAAAACTTTGACAGTAGGCAAATTTTCCACACTGAGTAATATTCCACCTGCTTAATAATCCTGCGATGGAGATCCTTAGAGACTGCATCGGACCCGGATTGATCCGGCGGCGGCGGAATGTCGGAACCGGCGAGCTCCGGGGACCCAACTGGCGAGAAATCGGAGGAGAGAGGAGAGAGAGAGGAGAGAGAAAGACGAAGCTTTAGCAATGGAGAAAGGTGAGTAAACCCTCCCGCTCTTTCTGGTTTTCCTCTCTCTCTGAAACTATAGAATCCCGAGTTTCGTAGATGCGATTTGATTTACAAAACATAAGGAATCCAATTGATTATGATTCTCTAGATAACCTTCCTGAATTAACTGGCATTGTATATTTTCTCTGAAAAGTTGGAAATTAATTGATCATGATGGATGGCTGTAATTAGCCTATATTTAATAGTTTTTTTTTTTGTGTGTGTGTGTGTGTGTGTGTAACCCAACCTTGTACACGCATCTATAACTACATATAGCAAGCATTGGTCAGTTTTTGAACCGCTAGATGGGATTCGTGCTTAGCCGGTGGCGTATAAACCCACCGTACCTTTTATCGGACATTTATACGGTTTTGCTAGTTGCTTCGTCTTGAGTGAAACACATCCCCATCTCCAACAAACTCCGATTGGTCTTTGATCCTGAAAGAATAGGAATTCATTTAGAATATAAAAGATTAATAAAGCGGGAGGTCCGAAGACCCCACCCACACTATCCTGAAGCCAGGCACATGCAGCGATTCGTGAAGTTTATCCGGGCCCTAAGCGACGGCCTCAGGCTTCAGAGTGATTCACGAGTTACAGTTAATTTTGTTGATATAAGAAGAGTTCTTACAGGTAATTTACATAAATAAATGCCTTGTATAATTAATTTACTTCTCGTCTCATGAGGATTTTCTTTATGATTTGGAATAATATGACTAATTTCACTTGTCATGTGATGCTGCTTCTGGATAGCCTTAAGATTTTAGCTTTAGTTAAATTTTTGTTAGTCAACATTAACATTAATCTGCCAATATGAACTAAAATTAGTTTTGCACGAAATTGGCGATTATATCTTAATGTTTTAAGGGTCACTCACAATCTTGTATGACTTCTATTTTTCCTAAACTATTTTAATAAAAAAAAATTAATAATGTACTAATAATACTGTAATAAAAAACCTTCGGTTTTTGTTTTTTGTTTTTTGTTTTTTTCTTTTTGTGGCATTTAAAAAAAAAATTGCAACTCAGTGTTAAATGATTCCGTATAATCTTTACATAGAGCTTGATCATGGTTAGGTTGGGCATGGAGTGGCTATGCATCCTGAAGGGAACCTCTTTTTTCCTCTGTTGGTCTTAATTGGCCTAATCCCTTGTACTTCAGGCTTCTGGTGTTGTGCAATGTTTGTGCGTTTATGCGACTTGTTGCTTTACTCCTGCAGAAGGTAAGAAAAGAATTATAGAACGAGTTGAATCTGATGAAGTTGGTGGCTTAGTTTGGAGAATACTAATTGAGATATCTATTTGAAATGAGCCTGATAAATCATTACATTGTGTGTGTGGTTGGATAAGATACAGAAAAGTCTTACTTAGAAAGGAATCTATTTGAAATGAGCCTGATAAATCATTACATTGTGTGTGGTTGGATAAGATACAGAAAAGTCTTACTTAGAAAGTATTTCCTTATTATAGTTCTAGGAGATTGGCAGGGAGAGTCTAAATTTATAACTGGGAAGTACAGGGACCAAACCCTTTCAATCAGTTCAACACCCATATAAATAGTGAAAATATTACTTGCACTTAAGCTACAAACTCCAGGTAAAATAACCAATATGATTTTTTATTTTTTTTCTCAATCGAATGTCGATAAGATAATAGCTAAACAGTAGAAGTACTTCTGCAGTTATTTTCTGATGTAGTTAAAAACAAACTATATTTATTATTTAAGATTAAATACAATTTAGAAGTATGTTCCACATATACTTCGTAAATTAATAGTTATTATATTTTTATCCAGATATAGATATACTTATTTGATGACTTTTCTGCCTACGAAAACAATAGTGTTATTTATGTTAGTTAACCAAAAGAAACGATTGATACACTCTTGATTTGTATACGAAAACAATAGTGTTATTTATGTTTAGTTAGCCAAAAGAAAAGATTGATACACTCTTGATCTGTACACTCATCTATTTAATTAGTCTAGGTAGCTCATAATCCTTTGTCTAATTTTGCATAATTTTTAATATTGCATAATATTATTTTATTAGACCAATAGTACATTGGAATTTACATGGTGTATTTGTGTTGCTTAATATAAAAGTGCTGGTTCACTATATTATATACATTGATTAGCAATCATCGGTTTCACTGCAAATGGAACTCGAAGCACATTACATTGGTCTAATGTTGATGGCCGCAGCTGGGTACGATCCAAGACTTGTTCCGCACGTTCACCAAAAATTATACCACCAAGATTATGATAAATATTACCTGGACACAACTCATCCTTCTGCAGGGCGAATAGTCGAGATGGTTAGCCAAGATACGGTGATGGATAGAGCAGTCAAAATATACGAGCAAGTTCAGGCTGGTCACGAGATTCCGAGTTTTATCGAACAAAGTAAAATAATTCCTTGCAGCCCCATTTTTAGCCCATTCTCAGTTAAACAACTTTTTTCCCCACATGTAGATGGTAGCATAAAATTGAGCTGGTGACCTGGAGTCCAACCCTGGTCAATCACCGGTTCTGGTGTTAAAACTATCCATTTTTACTGTCTTGTTGCGGTTTTTCATGTAATTTGACGATCACAATAATTTTGATTTTCTCTACCACATTTTGTCATATTGTTTTGATTTGGTAGTGACGATATATTGATCTTAAACCTGCCAATGATTGTCTTTCCACTTGAGAAAGGCTTTTAACGAACCAAACGTTCACAAACAAAAGTTCTTCCAAGCTTGGTTGTATTTGATAACTTGAACAAGCACATTTGTTTGTTAATCAAGTAGACTTCGAGAAGAAAATCATGCTCGGTTTTAGTATATATTGTAATTTTCAAAATTAATTTATGTAGAAGAAGTGATTAAATATCTGAAATTTTCAAATGTTTAAAGTATATAATAAATACTTTATAAATATCCATGTTACATAAATATATATTTTTGTTTATATAATGATTAATTTTAAATGTAACATAATTTATAACATCACTGAACTACAACACTGAACTCACATTGGCACTCTAAAAACTACAACATTGAACTCAAGAGAATTCTGCAAACCATGCTTGGGCTTTAATAATTGTTGATTATTGCTTGTTAGCTATAACAATTTTGGCGTTAGATTGAACAGGTATGTGGTAACGCAAAACACTCCGACCGGCTTGAAATCAGCTTGCCTCCTTCTTTCTCGCCGGTAGAACGCTGCGTTCCTGTACAGAACTCTCACACGGAGGGGTTTTCCGGTGAAGAGCCTCCGATGCTTAAGTCAGTATGTGTTTGTTCAATTTTCCAAAGTAAAGAATGGATAAATCGTAAATCACAAGAAAAGACCCACTCCTATATATATAGGAGTGAGATACCTGCCCTAGAAGCTGCCCGGATTTTGGTGAGCTGTCCTGCCCGCACTGCCCGTCCGTACACACATAGTGTGCGTATTGTCAGAGATGTCAGAGGTGGTTGTTGCCACTATCGCTCTGCACCAATGTATTCTTGCCACGTGTCCCTCTGAACTGAGGGAAATTATTCCTCTGCGCAGGCCGTTGGGATCTCCTAACGTCACCCACGCGCCTACTCGCGTCCAGGCCACGCTCCCGACTGCTCTCTACCTGCTACGTGCTCGATCTAATCGAGCTCCCCCTTGTTAGGTCGATCCTCGACGAACTCTGCCATTCTGCTCGATCTCTTCACTTTTGGTCAATCATCCTTCAACCAATGTGGTTTTCTCCACCTCTTGGTTGCCCAACCGGTGCGGTGGAGTGGTCTGCTCCTTAGTCGTATAATATCCCATATCATCTAGTCCCCCCCACTCTGGTCGAGTCTGAATGACTAGATCTAAGAGTGGATTCGAGCTGTCCTCTCCATTCTGTCAATCCTCTCGATCTCCCACTCGCACCTGGCCTCTTCTCTCGATCATTTTGTTGATGTCGCCACCTTTCCTCGACCACGTGGTCCATTTTAATGCGCACTATAACTGTTTTTTATTTCCTTTTATTATCAGCGTAATCTCCGCCTGCCACATGTCCCCTCAACTCTGTACTTTTAATCATCGCGCCTCCTCGCGATTTGTGTCACTTTGTTATCTGCGCCTCTTTAATTTTTTCCACCGTTGGATCTTCTTTTATCCAACGGTCATATCCCCTAACTCTTCACCTTATTCATTTGTACTCGTATAAATGCGGTACTTAGCCACTTTTTCCGGTTTCCTCACTTTTGCAATTTCGAACTCCCTTGCGCTCTGATTTCTTTCTCTGCAAATTTTTCCTTCCTGCACTCGGCGTCTTTTCAAGCAATTTTCGGCAACCACTTCTCTACTGCAACCATGAGTAAGTCTTCTGTGCTTCAATTTTATATTTGCGTGCATTTATTTTGTCAATTTTTGATTTTCCCTGTTAGTTCTTCTTTTTCCCAAATCCCTCTCATCTCGTCTATGGCAAAAAGGAAACTCCTTCTTCGCTTTCGAAAACCCTAACTCCATTTCTCTTCCTCTCACTTCTTCGTTCTACTTTTCAGATTCCGCTGACTCTAACTCACCAAGTCACCATTCTGTCGAAGACGAGATCGCCACATCATTTCCCCCTACTCGTCGGCCTATTCCTCACTTGCCTTCTCGTTCCGTCGAAGAAATCTACAATCCCGCTCCTATCAGTGTTCTACGCCCTTCCGATTACGCCACACCTTCTCCTCCTCGCCAACCTACTCGTCTGATTGATGAATCGGACGAGGATGCCCTTGACCATATCCCTCTCAATCGCCGTCGACCGGCGTTTGGGGCCTCTGATGTCGTTGAAGAGGCTCTTGATGCCGCTGAAGCCACTGCTGAGAAAGACGAAGATAATATTCCCCTTTCTCGCCATTCTGTTTTGCTCGGGCTACCTCTTCCCCTAACCTTAAGAGGGGCGCTTCGAAATCCTCAACTAATGCCACACCTCTTGCCTCTTCATCTATCCCTGTCTCTACCTCTCCTAAGGCTGCCCCTAAGAAGGGTAAGTCGACCAAGGTGTCTACTTCTTCCAAGAAGGCTTCTTCTTCCTCTCGTTCTCTCATAGCTGGCTGGTTGAATGCCGAAGAGATTGGCTATCCTACCAGCTGGGCTTTTGTATCTCTAGGCCCTCGAGACACCTATGACAACCCTCCCCAAAACTGCTACACTTTCTTTGAGATTCAATTTAAACTTGGCATCCGTTTTCCCTTAAGCCAGAATTTGGTCGATCTTTGTAAGTGGTTCGACCTGCCCTTAAACCAACTCCCGCCTAACGCCATCCGTTTTATCACTGTTTTCATCAGCCTCTGCCACATCCGTCTAGGTCGGCTCGATCTAGATTTTTTCCATTACTGCTATACTCCTTCAAAACATGCTCAAGGGATCTACCTCAAGAGCCGCAACGATGTCCATTTCATTTGAGACACTCCCTCAAACGTCCCCAGGTGGAAAGACAGGTTTGCTTTTGTCGAGCCTAAACCTGCTTTCCTCTGGGCGTCATCTCCTTGGCTTAAAGAACTACCGCGCGAGTATTCCATACCTTCAACCAACGCCCTCTTCGACCAACGGATTGCAGTATGGAACAGCAAACCCGTCGCGTCGAAGACTTTGCTCGAGGATGAGGACCTCTTGCATTTCTGTGGACTACTTACCCATAAATCCTGTCCTCTCCCCAGCCAGAAAACCCTCGATCTAATCCGGATAGAGGGTGACCCAGGTATGTGTTGTCATCGGACAGGCTCGAGCATTATCGTGTTTGTTTCACATCATTATGTTTGTTCCACATATTATTTATCTATTATGGCTTTAACTTATGCATAAATTTTTTTGCAGAGATGCCCGCTATCTCTGTGCCCAGGAGGAAGGCTCCTTTGAGAAAGAAACAGGTCGCTGAGGGGTCAGGCTCCAAGCCCGCTGACTCGACCACCTCCCAATCCGTACGTTCGACCTCCCCTCCTCCGGACATAACTGTCGAGCAACCCTCTTCGCTCAATCCTCCAACTGACCAGCCCATCGAGCAGTCAGAACAGCTCGAGAAGCCGTCCTCTCCACCGTCATCGTCTCCTCCGCCGCGCTCTCCTTCGCACGACCAGACCACCACGGTTATACACATTCCCGTTTTTCCGGAGCAAACTCGGCTCGTGGAGAATCCACTTAAGCGCCCCTCTGCTGAGGGGGACGAAAATATCGGCAAGCGCCGCCGCGTGGAGGAGACTGCCCTCTCGATTACTACGCTCGACGGTCCAGGGTTTTCGCATTACCGTAGGGATGTTCTTCCCCCCGTCGACCGTCCCACCGACCGTTATAACGATGGTCACACCCTTCGTGATCGAGGTCAACGGCTTGCCCACTGGCTGGCTCAGGTAGCTTACTGTCTCTCGACACATATCTATTTTCGTTCTTTGTCCTTCCCCTGTTAATGTTCTAACACTTTCTATTACGCGCCTTTGTAGGGAATGGTCGAACCATGCCGTTGATCGAGCAGATGCTGGCGAGCCCTAGTCGATCTATCTCGGCCCTCGAGCGGAGCAATCTCCGTCTCGGCACTCAGCTGGAAGAAACTGTCACCAAGGCCAATGCCCTTCACGAGAGATTGAAGGAGTCGGCCGCCCGTAATAAGGCCCTCTCTGATGAGAATGAGACGCTCGAGAGGGCCCTGAAGTCCTTCGAGGAGGCTCTCGCGGCTGGGGGAGCAGAGAAGGAGGCCCTCCTGGCCTCCAAAAAGGCTCTCGAGGCTGCATTCGAAGAAGAGAAGTCGGCTCGTGCATGCGAAAACGTCGCTTTCGAGCAAAGGGCTAAGCCTTTGATCGACGAGGCTGCCCCTCGGGCTCGGCGAATGGTCCTCCACACAACCGCTGGTCGACGCCTCCTGCAAGCCTACTGCGAACAAGTGGTGGCTGCTTTCAAGCAGTCGCCACAGTATTTAAAGGATGTGCAAGACTATGACATCCATTGCTTTGGGGCCATAATGCAACAAGCGGGGGTCCAAGTCGCCGAGGACGGGTTCGAGGAGTTTAACATGGAGGCCATATAGGATGCTATGCCCAAGGCTCCCATCGGCTATCAAAGCGCCCTCGATCTGCCCAACGACCACGACTGGTGGTCCGGCCTGCTCGAGCTCGTCGTGGATCAGGACGACCTGCTGAAGCGTACCTTCAAGCTCCCCGACGGCTACATTCCTCCCCTTGCTCGTCAAACTCAATCCACTGATAGAGCTGGTTCGACCTCTGGCTCAAGCTAGCCGACTGAGCCTGCGGGGCAACAGCTCGAGCCGCCGCCAGCGCAGGTCTCGACTGACCCTGATGCCAATGCTGATCCGAATGCTGCCTCATAAGCTTGTAATTTAATTTTCGTCGAACGTTGTACTCTGTGTTTGTTAAATGAATATAGTTGTATTTTTGCTATTTCTCTCTATTTGCCTGTCGATGTATTACTGTGTTTGATGTTTTCATTACAAAGCCTGCATTGTCGCCATGTGTTGATGTTGTTTTCATCGATTTTGTAAGCCACGCCA